AGGGAAGAAAATAGATCTTCTGATGGAATTGAATTGAAGATCAAACTCTGTTGGTTCTAGAGCACCCCTCTTTAACTTTTCTCTATGATTATAGAATTATAAATTTATGATGTTCATTTTTCAAAATCCACCTTATATACCCCAACCCACTTTAGGTTACACACTTAAATTATATCTTCAATAACTTAAGCTTAGAGTTAGCTCAACACTAACTTTCACCTCACATAGGCTAAAAATAACGAAACAACATAAAATATCATTCTTAATTACATATATCACAAATATACATAATTAAGAAAAAAAAACATAGTGTTACACCCTTGGTTCTCACATTTTTTTTAGACATTAATTATACCCTTTATTATATATTATTTTTTCCACCATCATATCTCTTAAGGGTAAAATAGAAGAAAAAAATATGAATAAAGGAATTAAGGTTTAAATATGTTTTTAGTCCTTCAAATTTAAAGTAAATTTTTTTTTAGTCCCTTAAATTTAAAATTGATCTTTTTAATCTTTATAATTTTAAAAAATCTTGTTTTAGTCCTTATACTCAATTTTTTTAGGGAATGTCAAATATTGTTACACAAAATCTACCTATAACATTTAATCCAATTAATATTGCATGATTGTCTCAATTTGTCACTTTTAGATGTGTTATTAGTGAATTAAAGGACTAAAATAAGATTTTTAAAAATTACAGGATCAAAAAAGTAGTTTAAAATTTGAGAGAGTAAAAATAAATTTATCTAAATTTAAAGGAGTAAAAATTATATTTAAACCAAAAATTAATTATTCACTTTATCAATAATAACTATCCTCTTATTTTGTAAGCATCTTTAGTCTCCAATTTTGTTTCAAATTATTTTACTCTTTTTTAGTTATATATTATCTCACTTCATTTACATTTTGTGACCTCTATTATTTTTTATTTTATATTTTATATTATTTTTAAGCAAAATATATAGAGGCACAAAATACTTCAACTTCACTAATATTATATATAAAAGATAGTGATTGTTTAACTTTTTTTGGTCCACAATTTTTACATCATTATATTCCCTATAATTATTCCACTCACTATTATTTGACTTCTATGTCATCTCAATTTTTTTTTAAATTCTCTTTTATTATATTTAATCCATATCTATATTATATATAATTTATATATATATATTATTTAACTTCTATATTATCCCATTTTTTTAAAACTTGTATCCTTTTTAAATTTTTTCTATTTATATATTTTACTTTTATCTATATTTATATTATACATAATATATATCTATTTCTTTTTTGGGGCATAATATATATCTATTATGATATATATAACTTATATCTATTATCTATATCATGTATGTATAATTCATAATCCATAATAATATATATACATTTAATATATATATATATATATATATATTTATTTAACATTAATCTATATCTATATTATATATAATTCTTGTGGAAGAATTTTATTATAATTTAAAACTTAATTAAATGTTTTCATTTATTTAATTTCTGTTTTAATATTTTTAATTAACTTTTATTGACAGATTTAAGGATTAAATCTGTTTTTTTTTTTTTTTTTACTTAGACCAAGTCTTATTTGGTGCACGTTGCATGTTATTTTTATTCTTAACGTTTGCATGTTAGGTTGTTGGTGTTACCGTTCCTTCTTTTGTGAAAAAGATTTTAGTACCGTGTCATACTCTAATTTATAAAATAAAAATCGGCACCGGATGAAAATAAGAGACATAATAATTTACTCATCTTTCTTTTTAAAAAATTATTTTTACTACTATATATTATGGAATGATGTTCTAAATCAAAGATCCTTTAATCACTCGGGTTAGCCGAATGGTCGAGTAAGAGGGATTTAAATAATTAGAAGCATGAAAACTTAGGTTCAATCCTCGTTGCGACGATCTTTATAATATTTTCTATCTTTACAAAAAAAAAAAAAAAAAGATCCTTTTTTTGTACATGATTGATATGACGGATTGTCATATCTTGGAAAGGAAACATATTACAAACTAATGTATCATAGTAGTGAAACATTTTCTCTCTAAAGATAATATTTAGCATGTTTCAATCCAATCTCTTCTAAACTCTTATCTTATTTATTTTAGACTTTGGTCTTTTTTAATTTATCATTTGTTTATGTTCATTTTGAAGTAATTTTATTGATAAATAATATATATTTTATTTTCTATTTTCATGGTTCTAGTAATCTTAGAGAGAGAAATTGATTCTAAATCATAATTCTTTTTCATAAAAAATATTTATCATGAAAATAGAAATTATTACTTTAGAAGTCAATGATATGAATAAGTTATTATTTGATGAATATTGTTTTGATGTGATAGAGGACAAACATCGTATAATGATGATATAAAGACAATAAAAATTGTCTTGGAGAGTGCAAATGTGAAAATATGAAGACTAGGGTAAAGAATCCAATCCAATGGATGTGATTGACCCTATGGTTTAATAGTGATGAAAGTCATGAAATTTAAATTAAATATTTTTATATTTAATTTTTCTTTAACTTTTTAATTTGAAAATTTGTTGCGTTCTTTTGAGTGTTTTGACCAGGTTGATTTCTTGCACAATTATGATAATTGAAATCAAGATGGATAGTGCATAGCATAATTCTAAAAGAGTTGTGGCATGACCTTGAGATAGGGGTTGGTGTTCCTATAATTTTCAATTGTCATATGAAAGTTGGAAAATGAAATTGAAAAACATATACTCTTTATGAGTTTCATCTTTGGAAAAGAGGAAAACACCCACAAAATTTTTGTGAGAAAATAAAAGAATGTTTGATAAACCAATTAATGTTATTTTTTTTTAATCTTCTTATATATCTTCTCAACAATTCAAGTGTGTTCTTATCAATAGAAGGTGTGAACAGGTGTGTTCCTATCAAAATTATGGCCAAGATTGATACAATATATAGTAGTGAGAAACATTAACTTGTGGAGAATGAAATTATTTCTCAGAAGAAATTATGCTTATTCTCTTATAATAAAGAGAGAAAAAAAAAAGTTGTGTGAACACATATTGAATTGTTGAGGGGAATGAGATTAAAACCCATTAATTAGATGGACACCCAACTTTATGTGAATGGCTATCCTATGAATGAATTTAGTAGGCAACAACAAAGTTATTTTTTTTTTTATCAAAGTACATATTTATTTAATGGAGATGTTTTGGTTCCGATTCCTTTTCCTATGATGAAGTGTATTTTTTTAAAATTGCGTCATTAAAAGGTTGAGGTATTCAAATATTTATATATATTGTATTAAAACTAAAATACCTCTTAATGAACCTAACAACAATAATTATGGGAGTGAAGGTCACAAGTGACCCTATTAAAGGTTCATCTAGTGAGTGTGGTGGTAGGATGACCATTGTGAGACATGCAATTTTAAAACATTGATTTTCTATTTCTCTCACTATGTTTTTGAAACTAGAATGTCTAAGAAAACATAACATCTCTCTCTCAATGGATAAATTAGTTTTTATTTAAATAAAATATATATAAAGATACGAAGTGTCTCAACTTCATCCATTATTAACAAATAGGATAAATTTAGAAGAATTGTCTCTTTTCCCTAATTTTATTTATTAAAACAAACATATGACATGTATGATTAATTAATTTGTTAAAAGGTGTTTTAAACAAAAAAAATATTGATTGTAGGTACTTCAAATAATGTTAGGAATGACAAAATGGATCAGTCTAACCTGTTTAGACTTTACTTGCCATTAGTTCGTAAAAAATGGGTGGAATTCGCTCGACAAGTAAAAATAAACTAGACATTCTGGCTCAATCCGCCTAAGGGTGAGTTGGGGGACCACTAGACCAACCTGCAAAAAAAATAAAAAAATAATATATTTATTTTTTATATATCTTTTTCAACATATTTTTTTTTTCTTTATATCTATAAATGAAACATTATGTTATGGGTGAATGAAAATAGAAGGTCTTACATAAATTAGTGACGAAACTACGAAATATTAAAATTGGGGTATTTGAATCACCTTACCTCTATACTACAAATAAAAAAAATTAAAAAGTTTATAAAAAAAATAATTTTTCGTTACATATTACAATGTCAAAATTCTAATTTTGAATTTTTAGTCCAATTTTTTTTTCACCTTAAACACGTTTTTAGTCAAATTAAATAAGTAATTTTTGTTTTTGTTCTTTTGTATTTTTTTTAAATTTTTATTTCTTCTAAATATTAATTCTTATCCAATTTAGATTTTTTCGCCTAATCTTTCTACATGTTAATTAGTTCTCATGTGATAAAATTTTGTCAGCTCTAATATTTTTTGATTTTGGTTCTGTCCCTTACCAGAAGTAATGGTTATAAATTATCACGTGTCTATAATTTTAACTAAATTCTACATAACATCTATTTAAGTTTTTAATTTATAAAAAAAAAATTAATAACACTGGATAGGAAATAGTTAGTAATCATGTGTTAATGATAATTTCTCCAAAGAAATGCATGCAATCGATTGGAATGAGAATTTGACAACTGCAATACTAGATGCAGACACGTTCGAGTTACAAGCCACACTCAAGTGAAATATTGGAGAAGAATCAAATTTGTGAAGGGAGTTGGCACGTACAACTAGGCATCTCTTCCTTCCATTAATTCCCCTCATTACCTCCTGCAAGTCTCGTATGTATGTATTAAGTAAGAAGCCTCACATTCGATTTTGGTGCGTCACTCATGTGTGTGTGTCAATCAGAGAGAGTGCATGGTTGATGACCATGCATGCACATCTTATCTATAGTATTTACTTCCTGTCTAAATTTACACGCTGCATTTAAGCCTTCCTCACACATTCATGCAATTACAATATTCTAAAAATATCAAAGTACGTGTGTGTATAAGACAACAAACAACATGCACACATCATGCAGTAGTAGTAGTGGTTTTCGCAGTGTCATCTAAACAGTGCCAAAAGCAATAATCTAAAGCATGAAAGCAAATTCAGTGACATCATTTGTATTATTGGCAGTACTAGTTCTTTTGCTCACACTGTCTCTTGTTGCTGAAACTAAAACCTCTCCACAAAACCACACACATGAAGCAGAACTAAGAGGAGATAGAAAAAGCAGAAGAAACAAACACAGTGGAGGAAGAAGAAGGAGAGGATCATCATCATCAAAGTGTGATCCATTTTACTTATTTCTATATGGAAGATGTGGCCATTGGCCTTTTCCTACTTTCACATGCCCTCAAAACCCTTTTGACCAAACACCAACACCATCATATTCATATCCTTATTTTCCACCTCCACCAATAACTTACACTCCAAGAATCTCACCACCACCACTTCAATATTTTCCACCACCTTTATTACCTCCACCACCACCGTCACCACCACCACCACCACCTCCACCACCATCACCACCACCACCGTCCCCACCACCACCATCGCCACCACCGCCTTCGCCACCACCTCCATCACCACCGCCGCCATCTCCACCGCCGCCAATAGCGTGTCCACCTCCGCCTGTTCCGCCGTGCTGCCCTTTACCACCACCTGTTACGCCGTGCTGCCCTCTGCCGCCGGCCTTACCGCTACCTCAGCCGCCACCGTTGGTTCCGTCGCCGCCGCCACCTGGGCCTACGTTGATAATTCCGCCACCTCTTGCCCTTCTTCCTCCGACGCCTGAAATACCAACGTTTCCGTGGCTATCACCTCCCAACCCCTTCGTCACAGCACCACCATTGGTTCCAGTGTTTTCTACGCCACCGGTTTTCACTGCGCCGCAGACGCCGGATATTTTGTTGCCGCCGCCATTGGTCCCCGACGTGCCACCGGCCTTCACCATGCCGGACGACCCGCCGTCTTTTATCATGCCCACTACGCCGGATATTTCCCTGCCGCCGCCGGAGCTTCCGGAGGATCCACCGTCGTTTAACATGCCCACTACGCCGGATGTTTTCTTGGCACCACCGGAGCTTCCGCAAGACCCGCCGGAGCTTCCACAAGACCCGCCGGAGCTTCCACAAGACCCACCGGAGCTTCCGCAAGAGCCTCCGGAGCTTCCACAAGACCCACCGCAGCTTCCGCAAGAGCCTCCGGAGCTTCCACAAGACCCACCGGAGCTTCCGCAAGAGCCACCGGAGCTACCGGAGCTTCCGCAAGAGCCACCGGAGCTCCCTCAAGATCCACCGGAGCTTCCACAAGAGCCACCGGAGCTTCCAGATGAGCTACCGTCTACCGGAGAATGAGGTTCGTGACCATGTAGAGCCGCCGTCGCCGTTTACCATGTGATGATGGGCCCCCCTTTGTTTATACGTAAATGAGTGGGTTTAAAATTTAAATAATCAACAATATTTTCCACTTTTTCAAAAAAAAAAAATTGTAGCTTTTAATAAATTTTAGTCGTTAGGAAGAGTGTGACTAATATCTCTTTCCACTATTTCTCTAATTTTTCTCTTGATCTAATTTGTGGTTTTATATTTGATTTTTATTTGTTGATTTGAGGGAATATTTATAAATTTATTTTAAAGTGGATGATTTATGTCTAAATATTTCTATTTTAAAAATAAATTAATAATAAATTTAATATAATTTTATTTAACGTAAAATGCCTTAAAATTAATTTTAGATTTAAAATCGCTTTTTTAACAAAACACAAATTACTTGATTTTGAAATGGTTCTCGGCATACTCGATGAATGACTGGTGTGTGTTTATTTTACATTTATTTAACTTTTTGATAAGGCTAAGCTAGACAAATTTTGATACCCAAATTTGATAATACTTTACCTGCAAATATTGATCAAATTATAATCAAGTGGGTAATGGGTTAGTTTTGATACAATTAACTTAGCTAATAATAATCACGATGAAAATACTAATTATATATTTAATAGAAACTTTTAATGAATCTATTTAATATGGGAATAATATTAGTGTTATTTTTACTTAGTTATATGTAATAGATTTATATATTCGATCAATATTAGAATTTAGAATATTATAATAATATTTATTAATTTATTATAAATTATTTAATTTTTGTAGATATTTTTGTTGTGAATCTATTATCACAATTTTGCGTACATATTTGTTTTTATATGTCAAGAACAACTTTCTCATCAAAATTCTTCTTTGCAACCACTATATCTCTTGAATGAATCAAAAAGGACATATACAATACTTATAAGAATATAGTGAAATCTTGTCTTTTCAAAGTTTGAAACTTAAATATTAGACCTAACATAAAAACTTAACACACTTGTCTATTAGATTGGACCTAATAATTATATATACTTACACAATGACTCTTAAATCCAAAATAGATCATATAATATAATGAACTTATAGAGAAAATATATGTTAAGTAATTCAACCCATTTTAATAAAATGAAATCCCATTGATTAATAATAACTCAAATAAATAAAAAAATTTAACATTCTTTCACTTGGTCATATTAATCATGTTCTATTTATTTTGAAAATGACTCTTGAGTTGAACAACTGTGGTAAGAAAATAACTTGAATATAATCACCATTAAAAACATGATTAAGACTACTAATAAAATCACAAGTTAAGAGCCATGATAAATATAAACTATTCAAAGTTTTAGTTAGTAATGACCACATATATACCTAACAATCTCATTAGCATGATCATAACACTAGTGTGAAATGTAGATACACATTATAGCATAATTTATGTGTTATTTTCATGCTATACTGTATGGATGGATCCTTCATTGTGTGTTTCCAAGAAAACACAATCAATCTTCTCAAGGAAATTATATATTCATCATGTTTCTCATGAAACAACATTCCTAAAAGGAACTAAAAACATCTCGAGATAAAATATATAATAATTATTACATCAATAATGTTAAATGCCATTACATAATATTAATATTAAAATTAAAAATAGTATAAGTTCAATGCAATAGAAATAAACATATTAAATAATTGCAACTCCCATTAACTAAATATATAAAAAAAAAACAGTACAATACCCATATTCCCAACATGTTTCATAAACACTATGGATCTTAGACTTAGTCCCTTAGTTAGTGGATCAAGAAGCATTTCCTCAGTAGATATATGCTTAACAAGAATCTCTCATTCGAGAATTTAATCCTTATATGCTTAAATGTTGTAGTAGTTCTATTATTCTTAGTAAAGAAAACAATAGAACTATTGTCAAGAAAAATTTTCAATGGCTTAGAAATGGAGTCTACAAATCCAAGAGCATAAGCAAAATTCTCAGCCATAAAGCATGTGATGCAACCCCATAACATGCAACAAATTCAGCCTTCATAGTAAAAGAAGCTATCAAAGTTCATTTTACACTCTTCCAAGATACAACTCGTCCAACCAACCTAAAAATATATACAGAAATAAATTTCCCATCATTCAAACAACCAACAAAATCTACATCAAAGTAGCCAATAACATTGGGCTCATCTACTTTCGTGTAAACAAACATGTATTCTTGACTTTTGTAAGTACCTCATTACCTTTTTAGCAACAACCTAATGAGCATATCATGTGTTTAACAAAAATTTAACCAAGACACTAACAACAAAGGACAAATCAAGTCTAGTACATACTTGTACATACATCAGGCTACCCACTGCATTGGCATATGGAATATTCTCCATAGAAATTTTTTTAATGTCATTCTTAGGGAATTTTTCCTTACACAACTTATCCATTTTGACAATACGGACATCACCAGACCTACAATTCTCCATGTTAAAACACTTCAAAATACTATCAATAAAAATTTGGATCTTTATACCCTAAACAAAAGATGTCAATCTCGGGATAAAACTCAAAAGATTATGAGACCTATTTATGTGGATCTCTATACCCCTAAACAAAAGATGTCTCTCCAAGACCCTTCATATCAAAAGATATTGACAACAATTTCTTTATCTCAACAAGCATATAATAATTGTTGCTAACAAGTAAAAGTAATCTACGTAGAGAACAAGAATAATAAATTTGCTTCCACTAACCTGAGATATATGCGTTGACCTACTTTATTCTCAAAAAAACCTGTTAAATGATATTCTATCGGTAAAACAAATACGTAGTAAATCATATGACAATGTAACTTCATTTTTTTTACTTAGGGACAAATATTCTATTTTGAAAATAAAAAAATTATTATTGAAACAAATCTTCATCATTGCAATCATGAACAAATAGAAAAATTACATATATTATAATTTGACATTTATTAAACAATCATATGTAGAGTTGTCAAAATAAATAGAATCCGGGAGTCAATTTGATCCACTACGAGCTTGAGTTGGATTATAGAGGAGGGTTCAAACGACACCGGTGTAACTTTTACTAAGTATTACACCACTCAATAATTTTATATTAAATGTGAATTTTGAAAATTCAACCGTTAGATTGAAAGTTCATATCTCTTAGATCATATATGTCAAATTTTGTATTAATCTAAGATGATTTGATACTTCATTCTCATAAAACAAAATTGACATAATATATATATTTCAAAATATACTAAAATATGAACATTTTGATTACCTTCAAGTTGTTCTTCAATTTTAACAAAATTTAACATATATGATCTAAGAGATATGAACTTTCAATCTAACGGTTTGATTTTCAAAATTCACATTTAATATAAAGTTATTGAGCGGTGTAACACTTAGTAAAAGCTATACCGGCGTCGTTTGAACCTTCCTCATATATATATATATATATATAGAAAAACACATCTTTTTTTTTT